AGACCTTTCTCTCTGTCTCTCTCTTTCACTGTCCACTCTGCCTGTAAAAAAAAGAAAGAAAGAAAGAAAGAAAGAAAGAAAGAAAGAAAGAAAGAAAGAAAGAAAGAAAGAAAGAAAGAAAGAAAGAAAAGAAACCAACCATTCTTTAGGTTTTGGCATCACCTAACCTCAGAGAGCCACCTGGTCAGTGGCTCTCACTGTTCTTTTAGTCTCTGTGTGGCATTCCACATTACTTGATGTTCTTTTCAGTATTGATTTGTTTGTCCTCTGTTTTCTATCCACTTCCACAGCCCAATTCCTTTCCAGAACTGGTGATGGCTCATAGCAGATACTCAGAAATACTTGTGAAAAGAGTCAATCAATGAGTGGATAAATGTGGGCTTTCACAAAAGAGAATTTTCTTTAAATAGTTTATTTTTTGATACCTGAAATGTCCTTCAGGTTAAGATTTGCCAGCTTATTTTTGGATGGAGAGAAAGAAAAATGTGGCATGAATTGAATCTGAATGTTTTCTGTCCTCCGTGTCGTTATCTGTGTTTATAACACAGATGAAACTATGTGTTTTTCACATTCTTACAGCCAAGTGGCATAAGGAAATTCCTGAATATCTCTGATTTTTATTTCCCTCCCTTTAAAACTCGAGTAAGAAATTCTCCTTCACAGAGAAAGTTTAGGGAAGCGAATGAAATTATACATGTGAAAGGACTTGATAAAGTGTTGACAATGAAGAACCTTTGCAGTGCCGCACTCTCATGTCCATGTAGGAGTAGATTTGAACACAGAAAGGATGTGGGTGCAGAAGAATTATCTTAAAGCAGAGCCTCATATTAATGCAGAGTTACCAACTGCATTAGGGTCCTCCAAAGAAACAGAATTCATAGGAGACAACATACTATATACGTAGCCACTGTGTTTCTCAGTATGTACGTGAAGCGACGTGTTACAGGGATTTTTCCCCAATATTATGGAGGGTGAGTAGTTTCACCATCTGTTGTTAGAGAATTGGAGAACTTGGAAAGCTGGTGGTATAACTCAGTCAGGGCCTAAAGGTCTAGGAATTTAGAGAGCCACTGATAAAAGTTCTGATATAATCGAAAGCCCCAAGAATCAAGCATCCTAATATCTGAATACAGGAGATGATGGCCAGAAACATTGGGGTGGGGGAAGACAGACAGAGAGAGAGAGAGAGAGAGAGAGAGAAAGAATATGAATTCTCCCTTACTCTGTCTTTTTGTTTTATTCATACCCTAAACAGAGTGGATGACTTCAGTTCATATTCCGGTAGGTATTATTCTTTACTCAGCTTGCAGATTCAAATGCTAATCTCTAACAGGAACACCTTCACAGATTTGTCCAAAAATGCTTTACTACGTATCTGGGCATCCCTTAATCCAATGAAACTGGCACACAATATAAACCATCAAACCAACCTTCCAGATTTGCCCAAGACTGGAGGTTTCCTGGAATGTGGACCTCCTGTGTAGTGAAACAGGAGCAATGTGTTTATTCTGACTTCATCAGATCAGCACCAGAAAGGAACCAGGTTCAATTCCATTGCTCATGAATACAAGGTACGCAGATAAGGTGATGTGGCTGTGAGGGTATGTATCTGGAAATACATGATGTAACTGAAAATATGAGGAAACTTTGCCAAATGAAGAAGGCTGGAAGGACCAGAGTCTGTTTCAGGTGGAAAGGAGAGACAGACACAAGTTCATATATATGTGGAGAAGATTAAGGTAATGGGGGCATGGTAACAAGCATATATATGACATTCTAGTATTGTTCTATGTAGATATTGGAAGAAGAAAGTAAAAGTAGTATTTAAATTTGAGAGAGAGATCTCAGCTCAAACTATGGAAGAAATTTCTGAAAACATTTTTCGATAGTGAAATGGTATACTGCTTTTCCAGCATTTATTCAGAGATGACTGTGTGCCAAACACCCTACTAAGTCACCAGAATAACATATTGAGAGAAATGCAGATTCTACCTGCACATCTCTCTCTCTCTCTCTCTCTTTTTTTTTTTTTGCTATTTACTTGAGAGCTCGGTGAGATGCACATGCATTCACACACACACACACATAAACACACTTCCACACTCCCATTCAGATACTTATAATGGCCAGGGCTGAGCGGGGGCTGGAGCCAGGAACCAGGAGCCAGGAGCCAGGAGCCAGGAGCCAGGAGCCAGGAGCCAGGAGCCAGGAGCCAGGAATGCAATCTAGGTCTCCCATGTGGATGGCAGAACCCAACTATTTGAGCCATCTCTGGTGCTGCCTGAGGTCTGCCGTGGTAGGAAGCTTAAGTCAGCAGCTCAAGCTGGACCTGCAAATCAAAGCCAAACACTGCAATGTGAGCTGTGGCTCTTTTAACTCCTAGGCTTAATGCCCTCTGCTGACCACATCTCTGGAAACCATCTGTCTCTTCAATCTTATGTCCACCATCTGAGCATAAATCACAATTATCCCCAATTCACCATCTGGCCTACCATTCAGTTAGACTGCAAACATTCAGTGTGCCAAGAAATCCTTCACAGTGCAGCGAGAATAATGTAAAGTGCTAATCTGTTCCTTTCTCTCCTCTATTCAATACTTTTAATTGATGGTGTCCATTGCTATTAAAACAGGAACAAAATAGAGAGCCTGGATATGACTCAAATGTAAGGCGCCTTATAACATCATCCGTGAAGCTCCCACCCATCTCCTGCTTCGATTTTCGGGTACTCAGGCCTCCTCAGTTCTTCATATGCCACTAGTTCCCATTCACTCCCAAGGACATTTGCATGGGCTACTTCCCCTCCAGCAATGCTCTCACCATTGCTTCACTCACTCCCTGGCCTGACCCACTCAGAACTCAACATCAAGTTATGTGTCACTTTGTATATTTAATAAGAATCATTGGGAAAGTCTCCTCATTATACATTCTCACTTGAGGTTGAGCTTCTTTATAGCACTTATTTTGATTGTAATTTAATAAATATTTGTGTACTTATTTTGTTGAATTCCGTGCATAACTCTAAGCACCATAAGAACATCATTCGTATCTCTTTCTTATCTACTGCTGCCTATTCCTCCATCTGTCTCTGTCTCCTGGCATAATTATTGGCAGACTTGAAGGATCATCCGAAAGTTCGTGGAAACTGTGTATTATGAAAACAACTAGCTGTGGATTTAAACATTTTTTCACCAAAACAAATGACTCATTTAATTTCATATCCACAATCTTTTTGAAGTACCTTTATATTAGTCACTCAGTAAATACAATATTTGTTAAATAAAAAACATACACTTGAATAAATTAAAGAATAAATTGAACTCCAAAGCTGACTTCTAGGAAATTATACTGAGTTAGAGAAACTTCAGATAAACATTGTGTGTAGAAATGCTAATATCTAATATTTGTTATTTGACTCATTTCCTTTCAAGCCCAATGAGTCAGATTATCCATAATTGTTAGAGGATGATACTGAAACCAGGCCAGGGCAGTGAAGCCAGGGCCACCTTAAGAACCCAGATCTTACCATTTTAAATGCTGTATATTTCCATTTACTCCACGTTCTCTTTTTAGAAGGGAGGGAGAGGGGCCGGTGCCGTGGTTTACTTGGTTAATCCTCTGCCTGCGGCACCGGCATCCCATATGGGTGCCGGGTTCTAGTCCCGGCTGCTCCTCTCCCAGTCCAGCTCTCTACTGTGGCCTGGAAAGGCAGTGAAGGATGGTCCAAGTGCTTGGGCCCCTGCACCTGCATGGGAGACCAGGAAGAAGCACCTGGCTCCTGGCTTCTGATCTGCGTAGCTCCGGCTGTAGCGGCCATTTGCGGGGTGAACCAGTGGAAGGAAGACCTTTCTCTCTGTCTCTCTCTCTCACTGTCTAATTCTATCTGTCAAATAAATAAAAAAAGAGGGAGGGAGAGAGAGCGAGCGAGCACAAATGATGAACAGCAAAGAAATGAACAAATAACTCTGTTCTTTAGCTGTAAATATACATGAGGTAGTAGTTATGCTATAAATCTCCCCACTTGTTACAGTAAATCACGTCAGAGCCACTCTTCTAGAAAAAGCAGGTGCTGAGATGTGTATGACCATGAGGGGTCCTGCACACATCTGTGAAGGATCTTTCAGTATCCTGGGTACTAACAGCAGGCTCACTATCCACCGTGTGCATTAATCAGCACAAGTGGTCAATTACTAACCTCACTTGCAAATTTTTGAAAGATAAATTACTCATGTCGAAGTACACTCTGTATGTGGAAGAACAAAACATTCAGATAATGACGAATGCATCTACACAATACTCTCTAGAAGATTTTGATTTCCAGCTGGGTTTGGGAATTACTGTATTCACCTGTGTGATAATTGCAGTCCTGCTATTTAAGTTCAGATACCGAATGAGACATAGGCAGTGATTTACCTAAGGTGGAACAGCTAGTGAAGAGTGCAACAGCTGGCTTGCAGCAGTGGACACATTAATTACATCACACTTCAGGTTTTAAAAGAAGCACTGTATCTTGCAGAAAGTACCCTAAAGAAATTTAAATGAGGATAACTCAAAAGAGGAGTGTTATTTGGGCTAAAAATGGTCAGTCAAGGCATCTCGTGTGTTAGAGGTAAATTTAAGATACCTCCAACGCAATAGTCTTCAGACTCTAAAATGAATTAAGAACCAGTTCACTGAAAATTCCGCCAGTGGGGCTTTAGGAATCCGCACCTTTAAAAATCTCCAGAGGTTATTCCCATGTGTAAAAGCTGTGCTTGGTGAACACTCCCAAAATTGTCTTCTGAGGCCGCTGCAACTCTGGCTGGCCCCTGAACGGCGAGCCCTTCCTGCCAGAGTTGCAGACAACTTTCTCCTGCCCCTGGGTGCCGCGGTTGGCGCGGTGCCTCCCGGACAGTGCCCGCCGCAGGTTCCTGAACCCAGCGCTCCGCTCGCTGCGCCTCCGCTGGGCGCTGCGGCGGGTCGCTCCCCGGTCCCCGCGTGCACGTGGGGTGTCTCTGCCCTGCATCCTGCGGGCGAGATGCCGCTGTCACACATCATGAGCCAGGATCTGGAGAAAATTGCCGTGGATTACTTCGTGCCTTGCCTGCATGAGGTGGGCTTCTGCTACCTGGACAACTTCCTGGGCGAGGTGGTGGGCAACTGCGTGCTGGAGTGCGTGAAGCAGCTGCACCGTGAAAGGACCCTGCTGGACGGCCAGCTGGCAGGGCCGCACGCCAGCGTCTCCAAGCGGCACCTGCGCGGCGACTGGATCACGTGGATCGGGGGCAAGGAGAAGGGCTGCGAGGCCATCAGCTTCCTCCTGTCCCTCATCGACAGGCTGGTCCTGTACTGCGGAAGCCGCCTGAGCAACTACTACGTCATAGAGAAGTCCAAGGCGATGGTGGCCTGCTATCCAGGAAATGGAGCAGGTGATGGCCGCTGTGTCACCTGCATCTACTACCTGAACAAGAACTGGGATGCCAAGCTACATGGTGGGATCCTGAGGATATTTCCAGAAGGGAAATCGTTCGTAGCAGATGTGGAGCCCATTTTCGATAGACTGCTGTTCTTCTGGTCGGATCGCAGGAATCCACATGAGGTGCAGCCTTCCTACGCCACCAGATACGCCATGACTGTTTGGTACTTTGATGCTGAAGAAAGGGCAGAAGCCAAAAAGAAATTCGGGAATTTAGGAAGAGCGAGACTGAGCTCACTGAAGACTGAACATGCTGTGAAATCAGCTGGCCTCGTTCACTTTAGTTACAGTTCGCGAATTTTCTTTCTTTAAGCGTTGACACCCAAAGATGACAAGAAAGTCCCCTTAAGTGCTTGTCTCCCTCGTGTCCCTGTCTTGCGTGTGGTACTTGGTGTTCTCTTGCCAACACTGTGTTGACCTGCAGATACTGTTTCTGCCAGACGAACTCACTTGCTACTCCAGAAAGACCTGCACACGTCCTCGTTGGCCAGTGGGTTAGCTGATAGATTTGGTAAAACTGGTTATTGAAACAAGAGCCTGGGAGCACAGGGATGAATCTTACTTGCACTTTATATATACTTCCTGATTTGGAGGAGGTTTGAAAACAAACAAACAAACAAAAACAAAAACAAAAAAACAAAACCAGAGCATGGGGACAGATAGCGCAGAGAGGCGTTATTAAAGCCTTAACAGTGGGAAACCAATCTAGGTCATCTGAACAATTTCCAGATGTTCTTATTTCAGGGCTGCTGGGGTTTCAGGAGTATCATCACGATCTAATGGCATTATTACCTCTAGAAAGGGCTGCTGTCATTGTGATCAACTTATAACTGTCCCAAGGGCTGGACACTCCTTTTTTCTTTCTAGTCCTGCAACCTGGCCTTTCTGCCTCTGTCCCATTTTTTTTTTTTCTGAAAATAATGATCACTGAGGACAGCACCATTTATTCTCTATTTTCACTGCTTACCTGGAGAACCTAATTCCCTAGGTGCTAAAACTAGAGATGAGTTCTTTTGGTTGGAATGGGAATTTGAATTTCCATCAAAAGACGAAAATCTCCCTGCTCATTGAGTGTGGACCACCGGGAACAGTGTAGCCACGTCTACTGATGGACATGCAATAGCTGTGTGTCTTCAGCAATGGGAGAGGGAAGATGGAGTGGGAAATGTCGATATTCCCGTGGTTTTTGTTTTTTCAGTTTTCCTTTTTTATGAGCTCATCCTTACCTGACAAAATTAACCAGCCTCAGGTGCTGTATTAGAGAAAGGAAATGGAAATAAGAAGAACCTCAGAAAGCTGAATTCTTGCACGTTGTCTGTCCCGTCTAGCCTTTCCTTGGCTCCCCTGTGGATGGCAGTGGGGCGAGCATCATGGAATTTTCTGGAAATGTGGAAGCTTCTACCACAGCAGCAAGCAGAGATCCCACTGCCTCAAGACCTCTGTGTTGAGAGTCCATTTTATGAAAGTTACACTCCCTACTTTTCAGTTCTACTCTTGTGTTTGTTTAAAAATCCCATTTATTTCTTGCTTGAAAATCCATGAACGTCAAGGAGCCAGAAATATTTTCATCAGTCACATACAGATATGTAGACTTTCCAAGAAAGAAATTTATTTTTTTCTTTCCTGGTTTCAGAAAGTTCCCATTGTTCACTCTCACAGCTGCTTTATTTTGTTTCACTGCAGTACTTCTCACCTTCTAACTGACTATGTAATTTACTTATTTATTTTGTTTATTGTCTTGTATCCTTTCTCTTGAGTTTAGCACAATGAATACAGGGATTTTGTATGTTTTTAATCAGCAATATATTCCCAGCACCTAAAATAGTGCCTAACAGCTATTTTGAATAAATGTAATCTCCTATGCTAGCACTAATGATTTGATTAATTTCCTTCATCTTTGGCAAAAATGCTTGCTAGCTTGTTTCTACTATTGTTGACATAACTCATTTAGGCTAAGAGTTTCCGGAAGCTTGGTCATGGTGTCATTTCATGTTCATGTACCTAGGAATACGTCATCCATTGGCCACTGTGAGTCTGAAAATTGAACAAGTGATATTTCTGCCCTTCTGTGTCTTGGGACTATGGGGGTAGCTTAACGGTAGTTTCTGGTAGTAGAGTACATTCATCCTTTGGCACCATTTTGGGAAACTGAAACAGAAAAAGAAGGAAAGTTGTTTATTATGGATTGTTGTATTCTGTTAATATGTTTTCATGATCACTAATGTCATGGGATTAATAGTGACAATATTCTGAAGAACCATGACGTACTTCCAATAGTGTGTCTATCATTCAGTGGAGTCAATATTTTGACTTTCCAATAGATCTGACCTCTTCAACCTTGCTCTGCCTTCCAGACAATGTCCATAAACTAATAAACTAGATATCAAATCAAAAAAAATTGTCTTCTAGCCTCAGAGGCTGTGATTGTCTCAAGAGTGGTGATTCTCATCCCTAACTGCACATTGTAATCACTTGGGGAATTAAAACAAAAATCTGGTGTTGAGGCAACATGCTAAGAAGTTCTGATTTAATTTATATATGGGATGAGATCTACTTAACAGTATTTTCGTTAAACATTTTAGATGACTCAAATGTGAAGTGAAGGCTTTTGGAGATAGATCAATTGTTGGAGCCATGTGTATTTGCTTTGCTTCCAGATTAAGGCAGGAGGTAAATTGAAGAAATTCTGATTGCCTTCTGCTTCCTAGGTATAAACAAAATTATAAGGCATCTTACAAAGATAATAAAGCACTCTGTGGCAACCATATGGTAACAGTCATGTGCTTGACAATTATTATATAATCTACTGCCTGGAAGCTTTTAAAAATGAAATACAATTAGCAAGACCACTTTTAAGAATGTGAAGAATGAAACTAGTACATGAGACTAAACCAATAAAAGAAAGAAAAAAGTTTGCAAGTCAGCAAAAGTTGTACTCATGTGATTGTTTCATAAATTATTTATTAGGATGTTTGTGTTTTAATTAAAATCATAGGAAAATATATCCATGTAACTGCTGAGAGATTGGATTATTCTTCATCCTACAGACAATGGCAGCTGCAAAGACAGCAACACATACACACACACACACATGCACACACATATACACACATACACACACATGCACACATACACCAACCACTTTAATTTCAGCTCACCTGTTAGTTCAATTCTCAATTTTAAAACAGATTGATGAGACTCAGTTACTTTTTGCTTGCTTAGTTTTAGTGGGAAAGGAATGCATCTTTCCCAGAGTAATAAAGAAATTGCTCTGAAGACAATTCTATAATTGTACCTTGTATATCCAATGTCTAAAAATGTAAACATTTATGAATGTCTTCTATGGGATAGGAACAAGGAAGTATGTAAAGCAGAGTAAGATGCAGCCACTGATGTCAAGGAGTTTATAGGACAGTCGGAGCACAACACTTGATGTGTGGGAAAATAATCGGGGGCACAGCAGCCCAGACCTCCAGACCTTGGAACGTCTTAGTCTTGACTTCATGCTTTACTAGCTTCCCAATCTTGGCCAAGGTTTCTAAACAAAATGCAGAGAACACAGTAATACTACTCCCTGGCCATTTTATTATTTTTTAAAATTTTAATTAATTTTTTTTTACTTTCATTTTATGGGAAAGAGAGAGAGAGAGAGAAACATGCCAGGCAGACATAGAAAGATGTTGGATCCTCTAGTTTACTCCCCGTATGCCTATAAGTGCCAGACCTTGGCCAGCCTGAAGCCAGGAACCTAGACTTTAGTCTGAGTTTCCTAGATGGGAGGCAGGAATTCAAGTAAATGGATTGTCATCTGCTGCCTCCACAAGTTCTCAGGAAGCTGGGTCAGAAGCGGCAGAGCTAACTCTCAAACTAGGCACACTGACATAGGATGTTAACTGCTGTGCCAAATGCTCGCCCCTGATTTTTTTTTTCAGCAATGTGAATTGTCTGTGAATACTTTATGAAGTGTAATGTACTCAATCTAAATATGTAATGTAAAATTCTATTTTGAAGATAAAATACATTGGGAAAGCCATATATATTTTATTCCCATCGTAGAAATTTACGCTTTACATTGGTATGTTCAAATACTTAGGAAGCCATCAAAAAACTTGTTCAGGTTTCTTTAAGCTGATTCCACAGCTGATTCATCATTACTTCTCATGTTTGCCGGTACATAGAAGCAGAGTTCTTCAGAACTGGATCAGGTTACACTTAGAAATCTGTAGGAGACAGCTTACAGGAATGAATCTTGAAGTATGTTAATTCTTCAATACTATTGAATAACTACAAATATTCACTAAGTATATACAACATGGAGGAAGGTTTTAGACATAAGCACTGGGCTACAGTCAGAATGCCTGGGTTTCAGTCACAGCTGCTGTGTGTTACCTAGAGCAGCAGTTGTAGCTGATTACTATTCGGATCATTCACTCTTGGTCACTAAGATGTGCTTCTCTGCTTCACTGAACCAAGTGAAAATTTTACGAAGAATATAGCAGCATTATCCCTATTTTTAGAGCAAAATTGTGAGACCAATCTGTGTTTTCTATGTGATTTAGGTACTGCTTTTGAATTATTTTTGATGGGGAAAGAGAGAGACATTAGTATACCAAGGATACTTGTACAGCTTGATGAAGTAATGCAAACTACTATCATAGATAAATAACAAAATATTACAGCTTCACAAAATAATTCTCCCTCATTCATGGCACAGTCCAGTGTGGATGTTGGCAGTCATGTGGCTTTCCTCCAGGAGATCCTATCACTGGGCTTTTTCCTACTTGTGACTACCCACTAGATCCTCTCTGAATTCATCTCTTTTTGGGGGAAGAAAAGTAGAAGTCTGTGCCAGTTTTAATTATTCAAGACTTGAAATAGGATACTTATATTTTTTTGGCCAGAACTCAGTCACATGGCCAAACTTACAGAGAAGTGTAGTCAAAGTTATGTGCTCAGGAGTTAAATGGCAATTCAAATTAGAAAATGTACCATTTGGGTATAGCCATTGGAGAATGTTAACAGCCAAATTTCTGTTTTTCAGTTCATACCATTGCATTTCAGCTGTCAGCAGTGTGTCACTGCAGAGCCAATTCAATTCCTGAAATGTCTTGGTCTGGATCTATCCCTTTTCTGGGTGCAAATGAGTCTTGTTAACTAGCTGCAGCTCCTTTGGGACATACAGAGTGAAAACTCAGCAGATGTCCACATTTGAGTATCTCACTGATATTTCAGGATTCTTTCTCAGCGTATGGATTATTTAAGGGTTCTTGTACTGACTAATGTCAAAGATTTTGTTGCAGGTCTGTGGAGTGTCTCCTATTACCCATATCTAAGTGTTTGAGAATTTAACCACCCATTTCAAGCCTATGGACTTCATAGCCAACCTGCAATAGTCAAAGATCCTCTGTGTGTCATAACCAATCAGTGTTGGCCCTGCTCCCTATCATATACCTTTTTTAACTCTGGAAATTAAGTACATCTTCTTGACCTCTTACAACTTTAGCTCTTTCCCAGTGAAACCAGGAAATCATTTCAAAATCAACATTTCCATCAAAAATTCCTGGCCCACAAAGTATCATCATTTAAATATTTTCTAATTTTTTGGAGATCTAGTGTAAAACAATGTTATCATCATTAGCAACAATGTATTACGTACTTGAAATTTACTAAGATGGTAAATATTAAGTGTTATCAGACATACAGAGAAAGAAAAAAAATAATGGTAGCTATGAGGTGGCCGATATGTTAATTAGCTTCACTGTAGTAAACATTTCACAATGTACTTATGTCATCAAATTTTATAGCTTAAATGTGAATACACATGTACATTTCAATTTTCAATTATATTTCAATAAAACTGGAAATTTATTTCTTTAAGAAAACAGCTGGGGCTGGAGCTGTGGTGTAGTTGGTAAAGCCACCTGCTACTGGGCTGGCA